CCCCCCTATTATCAGTACAACAACAGATTAGCTGCTATCCTTTGATGTATCCGCCTCTACTACTCTTACTCTCTCTACGTACAATCCCACTTCTCTATCTCTCTGCCATAGTCAGCATAGTTGATTACCCCCAAAACAACAAGTGTGAAATGCGGGTCCAGTGCCTCAGAAACCGAAACGGTCCCCTGCATTATTTTTTGCCTTTTCTGTTTGGTGAAAGGTCTGATCTATTGGCTGGGCGGCATGCCTGCTGAAGAGCGCGGGTTGCAGCGCTCCTTATCACACCAGGTGTGAAATGCTGGGCTGCCGTCTCAGAAAACCTAAACTGGGAACGGGTCCAGCATCTCTTTCGGTTGATGCGTTTGCACTCTCTCTCTCCCCGGCTTCCGAACTGTCTCTTTCTCTCACTTGCTTCTGTCCTTCTTCCATACATAGAGAACCACCTGGTGAACCGTAGGCAGAGAGGGAGAAAAGGACAAGAAATGAGGGACTGTGACAGAGTATTTCGGTGGAGTTTCACCAACTCGTCAGGAGGCTGAACCCTCTACAGTCTGCAGAGTTCCCTAACTGATGATACCGTTAAGTGATCATCCACCTTAACCCTGCCACCAGCCACAGTCAATGCCGCTATCTTTCAAGCTAGGGAACTAACTGTAGATGGCCGGCTATATGCCCGATAACTGATGCCCTGCAGTGGGCAGCGACCACTGCCCTCAAGGGTACCTGTGATGAAAGTCAAAGCAGGTATTTATATTGTCATGGAGACGTGAGGCACCACTCATCATGTTATAAACCGAAGAAGGATCTTCTCCTTCCTCCATGTATTATTCTGGAAACAGGACTTGTGAACCTTCTTGCAATTAGAATTGCTTTGTTTTGTGTAAATGGGACTACTCTGTGATTGCTTTTGCATCTATGCTTCCCAGGAGTCATTTGTCAGTTGAGTGAATGTAATTCATTTGGGATACGGCTGTCTTTTGGTTAAGACATTGGTCAGACTGGATGACCTGATCAAGTCACAATATGTTCATTGTACGAACCTGGACAGATCAAGTCCTCCCAATGTATTTGAAGGACAAGCGTCTGGTGAAATTCTTAACTGACAGTTGAATGACGAAATGCATCCCCTCTAACGCTGCACCTGGGAACGGTGTTGACCACCCATCCCCAAAATCCTACAGTTGCTCAGTAACTATTGTCTTCCCCCGAAGACAACACACCCTGATTAACTTTTTCTTTTTATCTTTGAAAAAATTGGACGGTTTCTCGATTTATGCGTGTCATCCTCGCCCAGGGTCATGCTAATCTACTCTGTATCATTCCAATTTTAACGGATGTCTCGGAAGACGATGCACCCTGATTATGAACTTACACAAGCTACCTTTTTGGTCCCATGCAGTCAAACCATATTAATCGTAATCCATCTCAGTGATAGCCCAAGTGGTGTGAGTGCACTTGTTTGTTCCTTTGCTTGTTGGTATTCTTCTGACCTCTATTGTGACGCTTTGCCTGCAGACTTGCGTGCGATTCTGTAAACCAGAAGAACGCGAAGCCATTTTTGCCGAGCTGCGGCCACATGCCCTTGAAATGGCGCGCAACACATATGCGCACTTCCTTGTTAACAAGATGCTCGTTCAGGGTAAGCAGGCCCTGGAGCCAGGCCAATGAATGCCATTTATCTCTGTCTACCTTAGCCTACATATTCTGTCCCGAAGCGTCTTGCAATTTGGCTAAAATGATTACATGGATGCTCCATATCTTCTTCTTGTTTCTGGCAGCATAGGTGCATTGGCAGGCTGTTTCTATAGCAGGGCGGCTGGCTATCAGCTCTGCATGACTGGCCACTCGTTTGAGAGTGATGTAAGAGGGTTTTTTGGAAGCCCCAAATTCTCTCTCATTCCGTCCACGAATCATCACAACCTTTCCATAGAACCAAAAAAGTATGGATAGGTGAGATAGTAAAAGATGCGAAGTTGTGTGTGTGTGTGTGTGTGTGTGTGTGTGTGTGTGTGTGT